CGCACGCCTTCGGCGTTCTGGGGTGCAGAGCGCGGCATCTGGCTGCCGTTGATCAGGGGATACTCGACCTGCGGGCGCAAACACACCAAGGACGTTATGTCGCGCTTGAAAATACAACACGCTTTTAGATCGTGTGAACACGCACCCCATAAAGCCAGAACGCCACCGCATAAGTGCGGAGCACGAGCGGCGGTGGGAAAGGGCGTCGAAACGACGCGTAGATGCCGCGCTCGAAAATGGCGGTGGCGAAGGGGAGCCCGTTCTCCCGGTGCCACACGTGAAGCTCGTGCGACAGAGCATCTGCGCGAGGCGAAAATTCCACGTTAGTAAGCCTGGTAAGGTACACCGTGTCACGAGCACTAGTAACGTGGACATACCAGGTTCGTTGGTCGCCAGGAATTGCGCCGCAGTCTGGGAGGCAACACCGCGGCCCTGCGGCACCGTCACGCGTGAAAACGTGGTGTCAGAATGTTGTATTTGTCTAGCCTGCAGTGGGGTGCTCTATAGCGAGTACAGCCCAATCTAGGGTTTCCTATATGTACTCAACTGCTTGCTAGTGAAACCATCCTTTCTTCATTCTTACTTTCTACTGCTAGTTCTGACATGCTATCAGAGCAGGTCGATCCCCTTGGGTCGATCCTCTGGGTGGGCCCACCACCTCACTGCTTCCGCTGCTACTGCTACTCTGTGTGTTGCACGCCCCGTGGCGTGCGACGGATTTTTCATCCCGCCGCACGCTCCGAGCGCCGTGCGCCCCGAGGCGCGCGGCGGTTTTCTGCCCGCCGTGCGCCCCGAGGCGCGCGGCGGTTTTCTGCCCGCCATGCGCCCCGAGGCGCGCGGCGGTTTTCTGCCCGCCGTGCGTCCCGAGGCGCGCGGCGGCTTTCTGCCCCGTCACTCCGCGCGTTGCTCCCGGGAGGCGCTGCGACGGGCGACGGGGACCCGCGCGTCGCCCCCCGTCGCCCGTCGCGGCCTGCGCGACCTGCGTAGGGCCCGCGCGCGGCCCGTACAGCCTGCGCGCGGCCCGTACGGGCTGCGCCAGGCCCGCGCGCGGCCCGTACGGGCTGCGCCAGGCCCGCGCGCGGCCCGTACGGGCTGCGCCAGGCCCGCGCGCGGCCCGTACGGGCAGCGCCAGGCCCGCGCGCGGCCCGTACGGACTGCGCCAGGCCAGGGCGCGCCTCGGGCCGCCCGCACGCGGTTCGTACGGGCTGCGCCAGGCCCGTGGGCGCCCTGTTTTCTCTGCCCCTGCGCTGCCCGCTGTCCCCCGTGCTTCTGACGGCGCCCCACCCCTGCTGCTGCCCGTTCTCCTGAATTAGGGTTTGGGGGTGGGGGGTCTGGGGGTGCAGTTTCTGTGCGTCGTCCCCTGCTCCTCCTCCTCCTCCGTCTCCCAGTGCTGCAGCTGCCGCTGAGGGGGGTGGGTGTGTGGGAGCCGAAGGAGTGGTACTAGGGGGGTGATGTGGGAGTGGAGCTAGGGGTGAAGCAGGGGGTGTGTGAGAGGGGTGTGGGACTGTTGGGGGAGGTTGAGTGGAGGCTGCTGTCTTGTCGTCCGCAGCACCTGTAGTCCGGGGCGCACTGTCCTGGTAGCTCAGAGAGCCTGCTGCACCTGTTGCCCGTGGGTCCGTTGCTCCTGTCGCTCGTCGCAGCCGCAGAGCCTGTTACTCCTGTATTCCGGGACGCACTGTCTCGGTAGCCACTGAGAGTCTGCTGCACCAGTCGCCCGTGGGTCCGTTGCTTCTGCCGCTCGTCGTAGCCGCAGAGCCAGTTACTCCAGTATTCCGGGGCGCTCTGTCTCGGTAGCCACTGTGTCAGCCGCCACTGTGTCAGCCGCTTCTGTTGCCCGTGTGTCTGCAACTTCAGTCGTCGCCTCCCATCTTCTCTCCTTTCATAGTCCCTCCTCCTCCTCACTTGCCCTCTGTGATAGCCTCTAGCTTTGCTGATAATTATGAACTATTGCTATGACTGCTCATTGTGCTGATTACACCCCACTTTGGCTATGGGGGTGTGTCAGAATATGTTGTTTGTGTAGCCTGCAGTGGGGTACTCTATAGTGAGTACAGCCCCTTAGGGTTTGCTATTTGTATCCTGCTGCTTGCTAGTTCAATCATTCCTTCTCAATTCTGTTCTTGCACACAATCCTAGCTCATACTTGGCTCCTCGTTACTAGTCCTACTGTGGCCTAGGCTACTAAGCCTAGGCCGTACTCCTACTACTTCTGACACGTGGGAGGGTCATACGGGAGGCCGTTGAGGACGTACACGAATGCCCTACCCTGCTCCCAGCGAGTGTTCCGGAAGAGTTGCATCTTCCGGACCATCCATCCAGAGCGGGTGTTGTCGTTGGAACACACCAAATGCAGCATGTGCTTCTGCGCCCTCGTGGTGAAGCGGAGTGCGCGGCAAATAGCCGCCTCAGTCAGAGCGGGGGAGGGCCAGAATGTCATGAGGCGCAGACGTGTGTCGAACACCAGAATGACGATCGCGTCCTCAATGACATCCTGCGTGTATGGGGGCCGGTGTTAGTATGTCATCAAGTATCATCCGTCGAACCAACATATGCGATCACTGCGACATGGGCATACCTTCATCCCGTTGTCAAGGCCCGGGATGACGAGATTCGCCTTCTCAAGACGCTCAGCCCAGAGCAGGAGTGCGGGGGTAGGTGCCTTGTGCCGACCGTGCGAGGACGTCTCCCGGGCTAACACGCGAGCGACAAACGGAGTGCGAGGAACGGCAGGTCCGTCTTCAGCTGCCGGCTGCGCCACTGTTGGCGCTGCGTCACTGCGCTGGGCTGCCCTCCTGGTACTCGGTGCAGGGCCCGCCGAGGCATTAGCGACAGGCTGCGCGTGCGAGGGCGTGCGACGAGCTTCAGCGTTTCGAAGGTGGATATTAAGGTCGACAATCTCTTGCTCACGAGCGCGCAGACGGGCCGCTAGCGCCGCGTCAACCGGAGGCGCCGGAGCCTGCGGTGCACGCGGAGCATTACGAGTGACACTGGGGCCGCGGCCTCCAGGCGTGGTGATAGCAGGTGCTGCCGGGGCCGCCTGACTGATATCATCGACGGGACGCTTGCGGGATCGTGCAGCTGCAATGGGCGGGGAAAGGAAGTTAGATGTTCAGCATGTACCTCAATTGCCTGTACAGCACGAGCCTTCATTCACGTACCTTCGTAGTCCTCATCGACCGGCTCATGGTGCGTGTCATCGCCAGATGGCGCTTCCATATCACCGCCATCATCAACTACAACTCCGCCCGTGAAAGCGTTGGTATCATCCTGCGGGCCCTCATCCTCACCGTCATCAGCGCCAGCATCGGCACGGTTCCCTGGGGTGTCATAAAAGACCATGTCAGCGTTGCTGGCGCGGCGACCCGCGTTCGGCCTACGAGGGCGTGCGTAAGGGGAGCGAGCAGCTTCCATGGTTTGAACAATGCCGGACAATCTAGACGAGCCCCCATTTTATACGCATTCCCCAGTCTCTCGAGAGGCACACGGCGCTGCAGACGCAAGGGAGAGACTCCCGTGGGGGAGATGTAAAGGAGACGCATGACGCACGAGCGTAGTGAGAATCGCTAGTGTCTACATGAGAAGATATTTTCATCTGCTGACACGGATACAGCTCTTAATAGCCCCCTATACACGTCGACTCTGGATATCGTGTCGCGCTGGCAAACACGTAGCGATATTTCAAGGGTGAACACATCGGCGAGCTCGTCATAGATGACCCGCAATGTCCTCCGTGTACATCGCAGACGAACTGTTGCGTCAAGCTTCTTGTTGGTGGTACGTGCGCGAATCCTACGACGACTCTAAGCATGCCGTTTCTCTGCTGATTGGCGGTCCACGTCATTAGTCCGTCATATATATCTTGTACGCAGGTATTTGATGTGAACGCATCAGGGTGGGGGAAACAACTACGTGTGAGGGAGCGTAAGGGTGAGAACACTTGGTTTCTCAAGGGGTCTTCAAATTCCCCGACATTGGTGACTCCGTTAGTGATGCGATCTGTCATTCCCCCTCTGTGTAGAACCACATATTTCATGTATATTGTGTCGTTACAGTGCTGGCACTGGACCAGAAACCGACCGATTGTGGCGAGGGTAGCCGTGTGGGTGACAGTATGGACCTGTACAGACACAAATATCAGTGTCGGTGGTCACATCCGAGATAGTTGTGCCACGTCCGAGATAGGGTCTGATTGGTTGTCAACGTTTGGGTCATAAAAAATCCCACCCACAAGTTCGGTGCTTCCCAACAATGTAGGCTCTTGGGCCTTAGTTCCCCTCCTGATGCCGACACACATATCCTGTATGGTGTGGCACGGAAAATATCAGCCTCACCCGGTCCGTTCAGCCTAAGGCATTAGTACCCCCATCGTTGACGATTCGTCGCTCCCGTCACACCGCGCACGAAAAATATCAGCCTTGACCTGGATCGACAGATAAGCTTACGAACATTAGAACCCCCGTTGACGTGTTCCTGAGTCAACCGCACGTTTAACGATAGTTCGTAGGTGACCCATTACATTTAGTATCTAGATCTGACGCTGGACGACCAATCATGGGTCATCCTTTCTCAATTCTGGCCGTACTGCCAGAGTACAAGTACTGCCAGGGTGTGAGTCTGAAACTGATAAAATCTCGCACGTAAGGAGCGCTATGACGTGTTTCCGTGTCATCCTAATTATGGCGGATTTTTATTATGGCGGCGCTCAGTCTTATGCGATGGATAGGGTCTTCTTTGACGTGGCGCTGCGTCACCAGAAGGCCGCCGCGAGGTGAGGGGCTCTCATTGTACAGTGTTGCTGACGCCTATCCATGTCATCACAGACCTGTCAATCCGCAAAACACGGACTGCTGGTAAGGCTGTTGAAAAGTTTTTTCATGGAGGCGTCTTAGAAACATATCAGCGCGAGTAGTAATGTCGACCTTACGGGTCTATAAATGCGGGCGCCAAGCGCCGTCATTCCAGTGCCAGACGATAGTTGAGTCATTTGACGATTCCTCACGATGCCCCCAATCTCCTACCTCTTCGCCTGCGAGTGGTGTCTGCGCCATTTTCGGCAGCGCGCAGCGCTCGTGGCGCATAAGCTTCACAACCGCCAATGCCGTCGACAGAGGGCGCGTGTGCTGCGTTTCGGGCGTCGCTGGATGTCGCGTCAGGCTGATGACTCCGATGATGCTGGTGATGCTGCTGGACGTGACAGTCCGTCTCACGGCTCGAACGTCCATGACCCTTCTCTTCCCATGGAGGTGAGGGCCCAGAACTTATTTGCCGGCTTGAGACTCTCGGAAACACCCTTCTTGGCTGTGCATGTGTATTGCTCTGACTACCTATCCCGTATTCGTGAACAGGCCGACACAACGCAAGGATCTGAGGCGCTCGGCGCGCCTGAGAGTGCATCTGACGAGGAGGGAGACGAGCACAGCGATGAGGACAGCGATGATTCGGTTGACGAGTCAGGAAGCGATGAAGACAGCAGCGATGACGAGGATTCTGGCTTTGACACCCTCTTGGAGATCTATCGGTTCATCGTTGGCTGCAACGGTGGTCGTGGCCTTTCGGACAAAGGCGTCGCGTGGCTGTGCAAGATGTTGCGCGACCCCCGCTTCGATCCCAGCGAGGTGCCGCGCTGGCGGTCTCGAAATGCTGCGAACAAGTACGGGCTTGCACTGCTGACTGCGCAACGAGAGTACGTGAAGAAGGAGCTCCGGATTGAGGGCTACGATCACACGTTTGAAGTCCTCTGCACCGAACCCGTGGCTGTGAGTATGCGTTCTGTACATACCAGTAGGTGACTTGCGCGACAGTGGTATTTTCATTGGATGCTGTGCAACACTTCCACGGCTGGGCCTAGGTTCTGTACGTGCGGGCTTGTTTTCACCAGCATTACCCCATGTAGGTGTGCATGTAGAAGCGGTAATCACATACCATCCCTCCCTTGGACCCATCAGGCGGTGCTGGAGCTGTTTGGGCACCCCGATAATGCGGAGGGGTTCCAGCTATTTGCGCAGACTGTGAACTCCGGTGCTGGTCGGATCTACAACACCCCTGCGAATGCGACATTCTGGGAAGAGGCTCAGGTGTGTGCTTCCGCAGAGAGTGTGTCTTCACATCCACTGGCAGTTCCCTTGATGTTAGTTTCCTGGTTGCCCCGGTGCGTGTCTGACGAGAGCACCTGCTACACGTTTTGCATGCAGGACTGGCTGAACATACTGTTTGGGGAGGGACAGGTGGTTGCTCCAGTCATCATCTCGAGTGATGCCACTGTGCTCAGTGGGAATGACAGGATCAAAGTGTGGGCTGTCTACATAAGCCTTGCGAACATCGCTCTACGCCGTCGCTGGCTTGACACTGGCCGGGTGCTGCTCGCACTCCTGCCGATGCCACCCTCAGACATGACGGGGGAGCAGAAGATGCAGTTGTTCCAGGAGTCCATGAAGCTCGTGCTTGCCGACCTCATTCTGGCCTCACACACGTAAGTATCATAACTCAGTGAGTGCATCTTTTCCCGGCCAGAGTTGTCCCTCGTTTCTGAATTGAGTTGCTTGCTACGCACGTATATCAGTGGATTAAAACGTGATAAAGTTCCTTGTGCGTGCTTCTCGCCTGCCTGTGAGGACCAGTCTTGCGATATATGCTCAATGACCTGCTATTTACGGCCCTGTACACCTGTACGATCCTTGGCAGGGGTCTCGCCGCTAAGGACCCCTGGGGTGACGACCGATTCATCTGGCCGCTGCTGTTCTCAGTCGTCGCCGACTATCCGGAGACCTGCAAGGTCTCCTGCACCATGCAGCAGGGCAGCAGGAGGCCGTGCTCTATGTGTTACGTGGAGCGGGCCCATCTCCGCGACATGGATGCAGCGATGTCCGACAGTCGGACGGTGGTGCAGCAGAAGGACCTTATGGATGATCGTAGCAAGGCACATGACTACTCGACCTTCCGTGTCGCAGTAAGCCATGTGTCTATCTGTGGCTCGTCAACCAGCTGTTTGTTCATTTCAGCTATCATGTCGCCAGTACTCATCGTTTGTTCAATGGTGCTTGATTGACGATGCTTTTTGTTTGCGATCCCCTATGGCAGTCCTTTCTCTGGGACTGGAACTTTTCGATGACGCCATGGGGCAACACCTACCTCTCCATGATGCCGGACATCCTTCACGCGCTGTACCTCGGGTTCTGGATCTACGTACGCAGCGCTCTGCGTGGCAAGGATAACCAGGCCGACAAGAAGGATTGGTGTGTGCCCATTGGTTGTTTGTGTAGATTATTTAGGCGGATTATGCTTGTGTTGGTCTCTGCTGCTGCTCATGTGTGTGCTGCTATATGCTCACGTCGGTCTATGCTGTTCCCTGCTGATGCCCTGGTGAGTGTTGTCCCATGGTGCTGCTCCGTTCCGTGTTGCTTTGCTGCTGCTGGGTTTTGTGTTGTTCCCTGCTGCTGTTCTGTACTGTGCCATGTGCTGTTTTCCCTGCTGCTGCTTTGTACTGTGCTGTTCCCTGCTGCGTCTGTCTTCTGAGTTTTCCCTGCCACAGGTTTGTACTGTGATGTTCCCTGCTAGTGCTTTGTTCGGTCATGTACCATGCTGCTTCTGTCTTTTGTGTTATCCCTCCCGCTGCTGCTTTGTACTGTGATGTTCCCTGCTAGTGCTTTGTTCGGTCATGTACCATGCTGCTTCTTTCTTTTGTGTTATCCCTCCCGCTGCTGCTTTGTACTGTGATGTTCCCTGCTAGTGCTTTGTTCGGTCATGTACCATGCTGCTTCTTTCTTTTGTGTTATCCCTCCCGCTGCTGCTTTGTACTGTGCTGTACCCTGCTGGTGCTTTGTTCTGTCGTATTCCATGCTGCTTCTTTCTTCCGTGTTTCCCCTGCTGCTGCCGTGTAATGTATGTCTTCTCTGGCAGGAGGATGGTACAACTCCACTCCGGCGCCCGTCTCGCTGGAGTGAACCAGACTCCTTCCGAGATCTACTGGGCGTCCGGCGCGAACTTCACCGCGATGGAACACGCAGGCGTCATGATGGTGAGGAACCGTTGTTGCTAGCCGTTTTGCCCAAAACCGTTGCTATGGTTTGCTGTTTGGTAACTCTGATTTGGGGTTTGGAGGCCCTTAAATTACAATGTGAAATACCTTTTCAAACTAATGGCAGGTCACTCCGTTTGTGGTGGAGGGCACCGGCACAGTGGCGAGCCGCAAGACGCTCGTGGCCATTCTTGAGTGGCACGAAACCTATGTCCGGGCGCCATACCACACCAACCAAACTCTGAGCGAGTTTGACACCGCGACACGCAGGCATGTTTCCTAGCTGACATTGTCACTTTCAAAGCCTCACTCATATCATTGTTTTGGGCTGCACAGCTTTCTCACGTCTTTCTCATGCACTCCCTGTAGGCCCAGCACCATCACCCCAGTCAGATGCTGTTCTTCATCCTTACCCTCTGTCCCAACCCAGGATGGTGTAGCAATTTCAGTTGCCTACACCTGTTCTTGACTCGTTGCTGTGTGACCTGTCAGTTCAGTTGTGACAGACGTGGCATGCAATCGGATTGTGTGTACATGGCATATGGCGGATTCGGATTGGGGCGTTTGCATCAGGCCCTAAATGCTGATTCTAAACCCGAATCACCTGTCCATGTTGATCTGCCACTCACTCTTCCCCCCCTCCCAATCCCTGTGTTCCGTGTATTCCATTTCCCTCTCACTCGTCTATGTGTGCCAAATGCAGTTTGACCCTAAACCCACCACCCTAAACCAGGTCGTTGCTTGTCTCCGTCGCTCACCGTTCCCCAGCTGCCCCCTATGCGTATCCCTTACCACTCTACACCCTCTCGGCCTATTCCCTATCTATACCTGTACGACTATGTGTTTGCAAAGCAGCATGGTGCGGAACGTGGAGAGCCACTTTCCACGCCTCGGAGACGGCTGGAACCTCATAAAGGTGCATCTCCTGATGCATCTTCCCGAGGCCATCAAGAGGGGTGGCCTTCCGCGCGAGTTCTCGGCGGCGGTGTACGAGAACGCCCACATCAAGACGTGCAAGGTCCCCTTCAGAGCGTCCAACCGCAGGCAGCACGCGATGGCTATCGCGCGTCACAACGCGTCTGCAGCGCAGCTCACCCGTCTGCCAAGCAGCATCGAGCCCGCCAGGCGATACGATACCGCAATGCAGCGGGTGAGATCTAGGGACTGCTGCGTATGATTGCGAATGCGCCATTTCAGATACTATACCTACCACCTTGTGTGGCGGGCGCGTGGTCTGCCAACGGTGCGGGGTCTTATATGAGTGATGGTTTCTCTGCTGCCTGTGATGTTCTCTGCTGCCCGCCTTCTTTTTGCCATGCTCTCAATTGCCTGTCTGCTGCCTGTGACGTTCTCTGCTGCCTGTGATGTTCCCTGCTGCCCGCCTTCTTTTTGCCATGCTCTCAATTGCCTGTCTGCTGCCTGTGGTGTTCTCTGCTGCCTGTGATGTTCTCTGCTGCCTGTGATGTTCTCTGCTGCCTGTGACGTTCTCTGCTGCCTGTGATGTTCCCTGCTGCCCGCCTTCTTTTTGCCATGCTCTCAATTGCCTGTCTGCTGCCTGTGGTGTTCTCTGCTGCCTGTGATGTTCTCTGCTGCCTGTGATGTTCTCTGCTGCCTGTGACGTTCTCTGCTGCCTGTGATGTTCTCTGCTGCCTGTGATGCTCTCTGCTGCCTGTGATGTTCTCTGCTGCCTGTGATGCTCTCTGCTGCCTGTGATGTTCTCTGCTGCCTGTGATGTTCTCTGCTGCCTGTGGTGTTCTCTGCTGCCTGTGATGTTCCCTGCTGCCTGTGATGTTCTCTGCTGCCTGTGATGTTCTCTGCTGCCTGTGATGTTCTCTGCTGCCTGTGATGTTCTCTGCTGCCTGTGATGTTCTCTGCTGCCTGTGATGCTCTCTGCTGCCTGTGATGTTCCCTGCTGCCTGTGATGTTCTCTGCTGCCTGTGATGTTCTCTGCTGCCTGTGATGTTCTCTGCTGCCTGTGGGGCTCTCTGCTGACTGTGATGTTCTCTGCTGCCTGTGATGTTCTCTGCTGCCTGTGATGTTCTGTGCTGCCTGTGATGTTCTCTGCTGCCTGTGATGTTCTCTGCTGCCTGTGATGCTCTCTGCTGCCTGTGATGTTCCCTGCTGCCTGTGATGTTCTCTGCTGCCTGTGATGTTCTCTGCTGCCTGTGATGTTCTCTGCTGCCTGTGGTGTTCTCTGCTGACTGTGATGTTCTCTGCTGCCTGTGATGTTCTCTGCTGCCTGTGATGTTCTGTGCTGCCTGTGATGTTCTCTGCTGCCTGTGATGTTCTCTGCTGCCTGTGATGTTCCCTGCTGCCTGTGATGCTCTCTGCTGCCTGTGATGCTCTCTGCTGCCTGTGATGTTCTCTGCTGCCTGTGGTGTTCTCTGCTGCCTGTGATGTTCTCTGCTGCCTGTGATGTTCTATGCTGCCTGTGATGTTCTCTGATGCCTGTGATGTTCTCTGCTGCCTGTGATGCACGTCCCCCTTTTGTGTTGCATGCTGATCCTATTCGTGCTGTTATATGATGCTGCCGATGGGTTTGTTGTTCTCTTATGCTGTCGCATTGCATGCTGTACTATGCTGTTGAATCAGGCGATTGCATCTGGCCGACCTCAGCTCAACAGGAACAAGGCACGCATGCTGGGGAGGACCAACTCCCCGGCTGGTCCGCAGGACCTGTACTCTGCGTACGATGCAGCCCTTGAAGAGGGCATTGGGCCATACGCCTACGTGATGCGCCAGCATGGCTTGGTGCCATTCCCGGCATGGGTATGTGCTTGTGGGTGCTTTACTTTTGTCATGGCTGTTTGCAGCCAATCATTCCCAACACGTGTCATGAATTTGCCACCAGACCCAAAGCCCACACAGTCCGTATCTTTGTAGTGTATGCATGACCCAGTCACGGCCCGCATCTACCCTGATCCATCATGGGTGTAAGTCTATGCGTGTGGCATCCTTCCTTCCATACCAGGTTCACACGGCGCTGGCTCTCCCTCCCCGTGAACTCGACCACTCCATCGTCAAGCCGCACTATGTGCATGCAGTGCCGGTGCTGCATGGCGAGGCGGCGTTCTCCTTCGTCGAGTTCGTGGACGAGCAGGGGGAAACCCTGCATGGACGCGTCCACCTCCTTCTGTCCGTGGCGTCCGCTTGTGCCGCTGAGGACGAAGAGGACCGTGCGGTGGCGTTTGTCCGGCGCCGGATCCCACAGAATGTCGATGAGTGCACGGGGTGCATGATCATGCACCCTGCCGTCTTCGACAATGGGTACCACGTGGTGCCCATTGATGCAATTCAGAAGACCGTGCAGTCGTTTGAGCACCCCACCCGCTGGTTTCTGAACAAGTGGGCGCAGGGTTGCCGCGAGGAGCCCCGTTGTTGTCTTGTCCCGCCCACCGTTTGCAAGGATGGCATGAATGCAGGCACCTGTGCACTTTGATGTTGGTAGAAGTACGTGGAGCTTGGAATAGTGGTGCATGCATGAGATTTTGTGCTTGAACCCCGCTGTCATGGGAATTCGGGTTCAGATGTTTCTTTTAGACCTCGTGTCGTGGTTTCGTGTGCTTTTGTTTTGTCATTTGATCTTGTTGTTACAACTCTGGTGTGCTGGTTTCTGACTTTTTTAAGCTTCCAAGTCTGTTTTGCATTGGTTCCCAAACACCTTAAGGAGTAGACCAGAAACGAGTACGATTTATCGGATCCTTCACAGCCACGGTGACATACAATGGGGAGGGGGTAAGATACGTATGGATTGCCCGTGCAATGTGTGGGCATTCGACAGCCTTGCCTAGGATTGTCTATCGTGTCTCTGAACATTACTTAGGCAGTCCTCGGTGTGCATGGGCGGTGCAAAGTGGGTTTCGTGCATAGTTGTTGCGGCCCCAAATTTTGTAGAGAGAGTGCGCGGGGTGCGCGGAGTGCGCGGCACGGCAGCGCCGTCATGCAGGGCAAAGGGACACTCTCCGGATCGCAGGCGCAACGATTTCGCTCAAGACAGCGCCGCCTGAGCGCGAGCATTAGCGAAGATCCGTCTAGCACGATCTGAATCTCTCTAACGGCCCTGAAGCTCTGAGAGTTTGGTGCTTCAATCTGTATCTGCATCTCATGAAAGCACCGCTCGTTCCTGCCGCTCAACTCACTCTCCGGCTCCCCTTCGGATCGCCTGATTGATAATCACCGCGAGGGGTCCGATCGGCGCGTGTGCAGCTAACAAGTTTTTTTGCGAAGCGTCAAGGCGAACGAATCCCTTGGAGTTCCCTGCGGGCCGTTGCTAGCGCGCGGCCAAGGTTGCAGAACGGCGCACACGGAGAGACTCTCCCAGCCGGACCGAATGAGGTACGTCGGTTGGTGATTACCGTTAGTACGTAGGTATAGCGGAACCTTCCAATCCGCGTCTGACACGTCACTATGTGCCTTTTCCCGATCCTCTCGCCTCTCTGTCCCCATGTCGATTACCTTCTTTTTCTCCCTCACGCGGCCTTTTTCCCGCTCGCGCCTTTTCTCCTCCAGATCCCGAACACCCTCAGGGCTGCTCTCTCCGGGTGACTGACGTGTGAGAGTCGACTAAAAGCACGCGTCAAACACCTTCCCTTTCCCGCTCATGCTCTTTCCCCCGCACTACCCGATCATCGCCCTCAGGACTGCTCTCTCCGCGTGGCTGACGGGCAGCACAGCACCTCCGGATGGCCAAGCAGGCCATTCTAATCGGCCCAATTCTGCTTATAACGGGGATGGCTCGCCCGCCGTGTCAGTGTCGTGGGAGGACTGGCAGCGCGCGTACGAGCAGGCGCGAGGCGCGGAGGGCAGACAGCAGCAGGAGGGGCATGTGAGAGGCGCGGAGAACAGACAGCGGGACGAGTGTGCGAAAGGATTGGGTGTTGGAAACGGCAGATGCGAGCAGAGCAAAGGCAGTGACAATGGCAGTGGGCGAGGGGAGGGCTGGCAGCGCGTGTGGGACCATGCGAAAAGCGTGGAGGGCAGAAAGCAGGAGGGGCATGGACAGGGCACGGCGCAGGGCAGCGGGGAGAGGGACGAGTGGGGTTGGGTGGGGGGGTTTGCAACGCGGCATGGAGAGGGTGGAGGAACGGAGGGGCAGGCACAGGTGGTGGGGAAAGGGCGAGACGTGGGTGGTATGCAGGGGCAGGGGCAGGGAGTGGTTGTGTGTGAGGGCGGGTGGGAGTGGCTGCATCGCCCCTCTGCCCCGCCTGTGTGGGAGATGACTGGTGCTGTGGCGCAGCCTGTGTCTCAGCCTGAGGCACGCAGTGTAAGCACTGGTTACCAGGAAGCACAGGCAGGTGTTGAAGGAGGTGCAGAGGGGTGGAGGAGAACTGGCATGGGTACAGGAGGGGCTGTAGGTAGGGTTGAGAGGATGGGAGGGGAAGGGGAAGGAGACAGTGCAGTGATTGGAGGGAGTGCAGGTGTTGGGGATGCTGGAGGTGGGAGGAGGGGAGGAGGGAGGGGCGTGGTTGGGGCGGTGAGGGAGTGTGTGTCGCTGGATTGGGTGCCGGAGAGGCTTCTAGTGAAGTTCCAGCAGAGAGTGGGGATGTACCGACTCGGATTCAACTTTCAGGTGATCCAACATGAGTTTCTCTGTGCATGCGTACATGCATGATTGTAAGTGCTGCATGATGCCCCACCGTGTTATTCGCTTCAGTGCATGGGTGCGTACACCTGTTGCCACCCGCATATCATCCGTACCACCCCCTCCCCTGTAAGCATTTTCTACTGTGTGTTATGGTGCGAAGCGGGCATAGCAAGCTTGCAGCACAAGCAAAATACCCGAGCAAGCAAAGCTTGGCAATAATCAATGTGACATTGTGCTCTGAAGCACACGATTGTCTTTCTCCCCTTAAGGCCTGTGCTACAAGCATCCCGTTGCCAGCCTCTCCCCTCCCCTTTTTTCCTCCCCTCCCTCCACTCCCACTCTCACTCCAACTTCCCCGTTACTCCTTCTTCTCTTTCCCCATCTCCCCCACCGCCATCAGTTCCGCCATTCCCACCACGACCTACCAGTCAACCCCTCTGTCCTCGCAACCCCGGTCTCTCTAGCCGTCTCTGCATCGCCTATCCACACTCTCACCAGCGCCACAGGCTTGAGGGAGAGCCGGCCCCTTATAACCGTCGGTCCCTATCAGGTGAGTCTGTCTTCTTGCGATGCGGCATGATGCAGTGGCGCTGACTGTGTCTTGGTATGGCCGGGGACGTCCAGTCTTTATCTGGATGCAATGTCCAGCGTGATGCAATGTCCAGCGTGATGCAATGTCCAGCCTGATGCAATGTCCAGCCTGATGCAATGTCCAGCGTGATGCAATGTCCAGCGTGATGCAATGTCCAGCGTGATGCAATGTCCAGCGTGATGCAATGTCCAGCGTGATGCAATGTCCAGCGTGATGCAATGTCCGGCATGATGCAATGTCCAGCGTGATGCAATGTCCAGCGTGATGCAATGTCCAGCGTGATGCAATGTCCAGCGTGATGCAATGTCCAGCGTGATGCAATGTCCAGCGTAATGCAATGTCCAGCGTGATGCAATCGTTAGTCCAAGTGGCCTTTTTGTGTGTTAAACTGATTGTCATATTTTTCTTATGCTCATGCGACCCATCCACGCATTTCCCTGCACCTGCATTCCTTTTCACTCTTGCATGGATGTTAATTCCCCATCGCACACAGGCCTACCCCGCAGACATCAGGATCGTTGTCAAGCCATCTGCTCCCTCTCCACCTTCCAAAGCCGCCTCAAAGCGCCCGGCACCCTCCACTGCCAGCCTGGCTACCAGGCTCGCGGGCATGGTGACCCGTGTTGCCTGGGCGGCGGTGGGAGGGGGCAAGGTGCAGGTGATGCCTGTGGCGGGCACGGTGCAGGTGGCATCTGGACGGGTGGGCCTGCTGGGACTGGCTGATGCTAGGGTGAGTGAGGGTTATGGGTTTATGGGTGTATGATGCTGAGTAGGTGTGCTGGGTAAGGTTCTTGTGTGAGGTGAGGTGACGGGTTGGAAACGTGCTGGAAGTTGGTTCCAAGGGTCCGCTGTATGGCAAACTGCCTGGCACCTACCAATACCAGCCCAGCTGCCAGGCTTGCAAGCATGGTGCATCGCCCTGGGCGGCGGTGGGAGGGGGCGAGGTGCAGGTGATGCCTGTGGCGGATATTGTGCAGGTGGCATCTGGACGGGTGTGCCTGCTGGGACTGGCCTGCTGGGACTGGCCTGCTGGGACTGGTTGATGCTAGGGTAAGGACCGTGATTGGATGGGTGTATGCTGTTAATTGTGTGTGATGGGTGAGGTGCTTGTGCGAGGTGACTGGTTGGAAACGTGCTAGAAGTTGGTTCCAAGGGTTTGGTTTTCGATAAATTCTTACGGACCTTCCTTCTTCCTATCTCCCATTCCCCCATGCCCTCTCTCCCAGCTGCATCTCTCCCACCACTGGCCATCCTCCACCTCGCACCTCCGCCTCCTCCTGCACAGCCCCTTCTCTGCTGCCCACACGTGCGCATGCAGGTGGAGCAGCACTCGGCTCACACGGCCGCACAGCCATTCCAGCAGCGCTCGTGGCAGAGAGACTCAACCTGGTGCGAGCAGGGGCGCTGGCTTAGCTGGTGGGAGCGACATGAGCGGCTGTCATGTGGATACGAGCAGCGGCATGAATGTGCATGGCAGTGGGAATGGCACGGGTGGTATGCGTGTGAGTACAGACGGTGAAGCCAGGGAAGGTGGTCTGTGGAGTGCAGGGAGGGGGGAGGTGGAGCAGCAGGGGGGTGGGGCAGCAGGGAGCGGTGGTGGTGTGGTGCAGGTGGCGAGGGCCAAGGCGTGTGTGCCGATGTGGCATGGCATGGATGTCAGACTCACAGGCTCCATGCGGTACTCCATGCCCTGGTGCATCGGGTGAGTGGCATGGTGCATCGGGTGAGTGGCATGGTGCATCGGGTGAGTGGCATGGTGCATCGGGTGAGTGGCATGGTGCATCGGGTGAGTGGCATGGTGCATCGGGTGAGTGGCATGGTGCATCGGGTGAGTGGCATGGTGCATCGGGTGAGTGGCATGGTGCATCGGGTGAGTGGCATGGTGCATCGGGTGAGTGGCATGGTGCATTGGGTGAGTGGCACGGTGCCTTAGGTGAGTGGTGCAATGATGGAGTGGAATGGTGTGCGTTGGGTGAGTGCTGCATTGGGTAAGCAGAATGGTGCAGGTAACGAGGGCCAAGGCGTGTGTGCCGATGTGGCATGGCATGGATGTCAGGCTCACAGGCTCCATGCGATGCTCCATGCCATGGTGCATCGGGTGAGTGGCACGGTGCATTGGGTGAGTGTCGTCGTGCCTTGGTAAGTTTTGTAGACTCTAGATGGTGCATTGGGTGGGTGGAATGGTGCCCTGGGTGAGTGGCATGGTGCGTCGAGTGAGTGGTGCATTGGGTGAGTGGCAGGGTGCATTGGGTGAGTGGCACGGTGCATTGGGTGAGTGGTGCATTGGGTGAGTGAGTGGCATGAACCCGTAGTGATTTGGGTGAGTGACATTGACTTGCATTGCATTCGATAGTGAGCTGCATGGTGCATTTGCTGTATTTTTAAGGCTCTCGAGGTGAATGGCACGATGCATTGGTTGACTTGCCTACCATGAAGCATTTGCTGAGTGTAATGATTGGAGAAGGGGTCCAACTGACTGGTTTCCTTACATGTGCTTTGCATCTTCCTTTGCATGCAGGACCTTTTCTCACTGGTTTGCCAATTCTTCTCTTGCTACGTCACTGGGCTCCTTCCATATTGCGGTCGACAAAATTGAAGCCATTTTTTCTCTTTTCTGAAGACCTTGGTTGTGAAAATAGAGGTAAATAACTTTGTTCCAACATTTTCAAATTGGATTCATTTCTTTTGTACGTTGCAATGACAGTATTGGGACAGCATGATGTTTAATGTTGTATGGATGGTTGAATATCAGTTGTTCTCAGTTTGAGCTTACTGCTTGATTGCTAAACACAATTTGAGGTGACCACGTATGAGCTTGTCGGATCTTCTTGTACCGCGGAGAATCATTCCGTAGCTCAGGTGGCCTCGCCGGAACCCAACTGATGAAACACGCTGCGGCAACCAAAACAACTCAATCCAAGCAGCCAGATTCACCACACCAGAATCGTGCAGGACAGATGCTATCGTGACGATCGTCCAGCAAATACCTCACTATTGGAATGATGCGTATAGCAGACACTGCTACATGACTAGGGTTTGTGAGACGCCACAGGGTTTTCAGGAAAGAATTTCTGCTGTCGCCCGGCAGCTGTGTGACGGAGACGCCATTGAGAGTCCATGTCTCCCTCTAAAAAACGAAGTAGACCGGCAGATTTGTGTCTCGATCAGGATGAGGAGGTCTGCATTGTCGACCCGGACCACAACATCCCTCATTCGCATGAACTGGAAACACCAGTTAAATAATCTTGCGTCGGAGTTTTTTGGGACATTGAGAATTTAGGCATTCCAAGCAAATGCGAGACTGGATTCTTTGCTCGTCAACTAAAAAAAATAGGCGATTCGTACGGAGAAATTATTCAGTTTACGGCTTATGGGAAACAGGGAAGAATCGGCTCACGTGCACGCGAACTGCCAGCATGCGGTGTGAATTTCGTCAACGTTTCGTCAGGAAAGGAAATGGCAGACAAAGCCATAATCCTGGACATTATGTGTTTCGCTTTTGACACGAAAGGTCGACTCAGCAAAAAGCAAGCTAACGAGCAAGGGATTTCAACGACAGAACTGTTAAGCTGCAGGTATGATCTCTCATGCCTCTCTTGCAATGGGGTTGTACTAATGATGCGTTTAAACTCAGGTTGACTCGTTCATGCGTGGTGCTTATCACTGGTGACTCTGGCTTCGCTCCTCTTATATCCAGACTCCTTTCCCGGGGTGTCAAAACTGTCATAATTACCAGACTACCGGGATCATTGTCTCGCACATTGAAGCCGCAGCCTGTATCAACTTCCTTGCTAGAATCAGGAGCTGACATTCATGACTGGGATCAAGTGGTGCCATCTGAGTCTGCAAACTTCTCGTCAACATCAGGCCCCCCTTCGGCAGCCATGGTTGAGTCGCAACCGGTCGAGGCGAACGAAACATCACCTGCCGACGCGTTGCATGAATGTAACACAGCAAGTCATTGTGTTGCAGAGCTTTCGTGGGCTGCTGTCAAGGAGCGTGCTCAGCAGGGGTTTACAAATGAGAGCTTCACTTTAAGTCTCCTGAAGTGCCAGGTGATGACTGTGCTTGCGGCTCATGGTCCTCTCTGCATTGAGAAATTTCTTCAGGCCTTCGCCACTCTTATGGGCAAGCCGTTTCAGCCGAAGGATTATGGGTTGAGACGCGTGAAAAAACTTCAAAATGTCCTTCCTGGTGTGGTGCAGCTGAATACGGCATGGTCACTGATTGAGAACCCTAAGCTGATTCCAGGAAACGGCGAACACAAGCTTTCGCAACAGAGGAGCTTGTGCCTCGTTTCTTCACCAAAAAACTTGAGAACCCTTGGGCTCATTCAGTCAAGATTGAGGCTGCTTGTGCACGAAGTGCTGGCAGTAATCGTGGTTGAAAATGGCGAGCCCTGGGTGCCTTTACAGGTGCTTCAAACAAGAGTGGAACAGAGACTTGGCCGGTCTCTTGATTCTGTTCTGACCAAGCATGGATATGGGGTTGAAGGGGAGATGCCTTTGGACTGGAGGTTTGTGGCAATGCTTCAGGATTTGTCTGATGTTGTTCATGTGCAATCGAACGAGACAGGGCATTTGCACGTCCGGACTACTGGATGGACAGGGGAAGCCCAGCTGGTCAAAGCTTGGGTGCTTCAAAATCCAATGTGGGACGGGTCTGTGTATGCAGAGTGTTAGCAACAGACCCCGTACCTCTAAACAGAAAAACATTGACTCCACCCTTTCTGTTTTTGTGCATGTACGTAGTCACGTTTCATCTGAATGCAGAACATTTTGGGGCACTGTGCTGTAAGATTCCGCCACAATTGTTCTGGTCAAACTGCTGGTAACACAACCATGATGGAGGTTCTTAACCATGATACGGTACAAGAACCTCGCACTTTCTGCTGCCTGTTCTCCATTTTAGAGGCCATCCATACCACCGACTTGCTCTGAGAATTAGTATAATTACATTTGGAAAGTTGGCTATTTGAATCTAATGTGGAAACATGCATACACACTGAATGTTTACATAGAATGGTACCGGAACCTAATCTCTAAGCATGGTTGTATCTACCGTACTAGATTTTATTACTCCCCTGCGTATAGAGTAATACAAGGTGAGAACATATCGGAGGGAAGCACTTGTGAGTCACTGGTGAGTAATTGGGAGTCCTGCCCTGACTGGTGAAGTGAGCGTCAGCTGAAGGGTGCTACAGTGCACGATGTCAGGAATCCCCAAGGCACATACCATATGGGTGAGCTTCTCAAGCCTTCTCATCACTGCTCTGTCAGGGACAACGACTGTTCTGGTTAGTGACCTCGAGGGCAGTTTCTCGAGCGCAGTTCTGTCGAAGTCACTGCAAACGATCCCCGTTCGTATTTTTAGGAATCCTTCAAGCGCGTCGGAAGAGCCGAGTCGCTGATCCTTTTGATTCCTCCATCTCGTGTTCTGCCGGAAGAGTTAATTTCTCCTAGTCTTGAATATTTTTCATTAGGTTTCGACAGCACAACCATGTACGGTTTTGAGGCTCTCACGTTCAACATTAACGATGGTTACCTGGAGGCGATCGTGCGAGGGTACCGGTCAGGGCTGCTGACAGCCGCTGATTACAACAACCTGTGCCAGTGCGAGACGCTAGACGACATTAAGCTCCACCTCACGGGGACGGACTATGGAGGCTTTTTACAAAACGGTTAGCACGCTTGCCTTTCTTATTTCTTGCAGATCACACCGCTGATTATTTCAAATGGGAAGAGTCTGATCCATATTTTGTTGCTCGGACCCCGCTGATCAAAACGCCGCAAATAACTAGTTGTTCTTTTCTCACTGACAGATGTTGATCTTGAATAGTGTCGAGTCAATGTCTCTGCTATCGGCTGTTTCCTTTTCCCAGAGCCGTCTCCGCTGCATACGACGACTATCGTCGACAAGTGCACGCAGAAGCTGGTGGACGAATTCGACCACATGCGCTGCCAGGCCACCGAGCCTCTCTCCACCTTCCTCGACTACATCACGTGAGGCTGCCTCGGTGCTTTCTTCCAAACATTTTTCTGCTCTGTACGGCGTTCTTACCCTAGACCCACAGCAATCTGTCTTTCTGGCTAACGTAACGGCTTTTAAATGCTTTGGATTACGGGACGTCATTCAGCAACCTGGTTTACCGTACACATTACTGAGATGTTTATTCTGCTCGGCCAGCTGTTAAAGGCGAAGATCCGATGCTCCTCGGCTTTGGCCGATGCACAACTGCTGAGTGTTCGGCAAGCGTGCACCCCGCGGATCAGATAACAACCGTGTTCTAAAGTACCCGTTATAATGGTTATGTCTATCCCGTATGCCTCGCCGTTTCCCGTGCTACGCTGAGCAGTTACGGCCACATGATCGACAACGTGGTGCTCATTGTGAGCGGTGCGCTACACGAGAGGGACGTGCACGAGCTGCTGGAGAAATGCCACCCGCTCGGCATGTTTGACAGGTAACCAGAGAGCTGAGGGTAACCAGGGATTGGAAGGTAACCTGGGGTTGGAAGGTAACCTGGGATTGGAAGGTAACCTGGGGTTGGAAGGTAACCTGGGGTTGGAAGGTAACCTGGGATTGGAAGGTAACCTGGGGTTGGAAGGTAACCTGGGATTGGAAGGTAACCTGGGATTAGAGGGTAACCGAGGATGTGAGGGTAGCCAACAGTCAGAGGTTAACCAGAGATCAAAGGTTAACAAGGGATCGGAAGGTAGCCGGGGATTTGAGGGTAACCAGGAGGCTCAACAAGATTGGAGAATGACCAAAGATTGAAGGGTATTCACGGATTGGACCAGCCCTGTATGTCAAGTTTCGAGATGCTACTTCCGTTTTTTTCTGAATGGATCTTTTACTGATGCCTAACAAAAGCGCTCTTCGCTCTTTCCGTTTGCAGCATCGCTACCCTAGCTGTTGCTCAGAACATGAGGG